GTAGAAAACGTTTGGTTAAGGGGTTTAACAGGTGGAACGGGTCGGAAAAGGTTTAACGGATTTGGGAAACTGAGAGGAAAAGTTAGAAAAATTTAAAATCAGGGATACATCGACAGGTTAAGAAATGGATAGGGAAATTTGCACGAATACCCTATCCCTTGCCATTCCTACCTCTTGTTTTTGTTTAATATTATTATTTTTTTGAAAAGCATATTTTCCTCTTTTTTAAAACTACACTTTAATATTAAACAATAAAATCATCAAAGCATAGTTTTCCAAAATAAAAAAAAGGTTTTTTTTTTCATTAAAAACAAAACCTTTTGTAATCGACCCAAACCCTCACGCCCTCTTTCACCTCTAAATTCTGGCTCTAGTCCTCTATCTCATATTTTCCATATTTTGCAAAAAGACTTTCCTACTGGCCCACTACAATTCTAATAAAAGAAAAATAGATAATTTCCCTTCATCTATTGGTTGAATTACCTGAACACCTGGTGACCTTCCCTAATCATTATCCATCGCTAATTATGACCTTGGCTAAGACTCCCTTCTCTCTAAGATGCAGACTGCCCTTCTACTAGGCGAAATCAACAGGTTCTCATTTTCTCAATTATAGCTTCCCGGTTCCCCATCTAGGCCGTCAACAATCTCCAAACGGGTAATCGGGTAACCATAAGAAATATGGGGTTTTATCCCCCAGCTTGTTCCTGATCTGATTGGTTGTTAACCAGACTCCTAGAAACTAGACCCGGGTCTCTTCAAATTGTCTTTTCGAGTATTTAGGACCCAGACCCAATAAGTTGCTTGACCCGACACCACGAGGAATACCTGATCTGGAATCCGAACCCAACCTACTTTGAACCCCCGCCTCAGGAGTCAAGACGAAAAGAAATAAATTTGGATAACCTCCAACCTTGATGTGTCAGTCACCCACCTTAATTGATCTGCTATCCTCTTAGCCTACTTAAACTTGAGGATCTCAGAGAATCAACCTCTTGTCAATTCTTATTATCTGCCACGTGGCATGTACTCCCAAAGAGTTGGTCTAATCCACTCATCCCTCCGTTGATTGTCAAGGAAAAACTTTGGTTGTTTGTAATAAACATGTGCTGTTTTGGTAGATTATTGTGAATGGCATCTCATAATCAGTGTGGATAAAAAAGTATTTACACTCGAATTGGAATCTGCTCCTTACACAGGGCTTCTCACAACCACTTAAGGCACATCCCACTGTGCATTGGAAACATCTCCTGTAAATAATAACACATAAGCATGGAAGATGTTCCCAATGCACAGTGGGATGTATCTATGAGGTCAGTGTGAGACACCCTTTGTGAGGAGCAGATCCCGTCTCTTTACACTCAATAATTTTTTAGTTGAAAAGACAAATAAGGACTTGAATTAGCTAAGGTATCATGTGCAGATGCTCCCAAAACAGCTCAAGTTCAAAACAGCCAAAACGAAATCGATTGTCAATCTTCAACCAATTTCCAGGAGAATGCATTGGATGGGAAGCAAAATAAGCATATGAGTCTCCATGCACTGTGATTTCAAAATTACACCTTCTGAAACTATGACCAACCTTTTCACAAATTAAAAAAAAAAAAGAAAAACACTAGGGAGATTTTCATATCTATAACTAGCCTACACCATCGAGCTATCAAAACATCCCACCCTCAAAGGTATCTCAAGCATAAATAATTTCCTAAGGATACCACAACCTTGCCAGCCCCGGTCGTTTGGTGTGTCTTTTCATGCAGTCTATTGACTATTTAGAAGCTTGACAGATTGCATTGTGGTGTTTTTTTTCATTTGGTTCGGAGGAGATCTAACTGTCATAAGACGTTTTTGGGCTATTTTCAAGAAGCTCTAAATAGAGATTTCCAATTCTTTTTTGTAAGCTCATCTTCGCACACAAAGACACACCTTAATCAAATAGTCTTCAAGCTATCAAGATCTTGATGCGAAAGTTCACTATTCTTTTGATCGTCGAAACTTCCAAAAGATTTTTCAAAAAAGACTTGCCAAACGACCCCTAATTCACTAACCTCTCTCCAAGTTTACTGGTTCAAATTTCAAAAGGTAGATGTAGATTATTAACCTGCATCTAGACCTCCGCCTACGTGATTTTAGAACTCCTCTGATCCCTCCTCTCTTGCCATTTGAACAACATTTTAATCATAAATGAAACAAGACCCATTATCCCTTACATTATCATAATCATCTTGATACCGAAACCTTAACCTATAATAACCTATTTTTTGTGTGGTAAAATAAAATTTTGATTAAAAGAAAAATGGAGTACATCCTTTCAGGTGATAAGACATCACCATAAAACATGAATACAGCCAAAATACAACTAGAAAATTTCAAGCTTATCATAAAGTTTTTCATATTACGCCATTGGAACCCCAACACTTTGTCTCTTACAACATGACATGTAGATTGTGTTTTTTCAAGACATTTTTCACTATAGTTCTTCTCTTAGGCCTCTCACATTCCAAGACACCAGCTTTAAAAAAAATTCCTCTGCTTCCACCTCTACCCCCTTCCATTGCTCCTTGTTGATATTCCCCTCTACTCTTCATCTAGAATATCTTCTTTCCTCCCTCCACTTTTCTCCCCCTTCTCATACTATTTTCTTTTAATTATATTCTTCCTTTTTACTCTTTTCAAACTGTTTGATTGCTTTTCTCACTACCCTTCCCCCCTCCCCAAGAAGATGTCAAGAGATTTCTCAATTTCCACCTATCTTTTGATAAAAGAATCAATATCCACTCTAACCTTATCTTCTTCCACCCTCCAAAAGGCCCTTTGTGTCTCCTCATCTCTCCTTCAATGAATAATCTCAGGTCGTATCTTTCCCCTACAAACAACAACTTTAACCTATATCTTGGGTTGTAGCAATATCCTCGACGTCTACCATAACTCTTGCCATGTCAAGCTTCTCCCAGGTTTTGTATCTCTCATCGAGTTTCAAAAATCTACAACAATAATTGGCGATTTGTTCGAAAGTCTAGGATACACAAAGCATGCAGTAGGATGCCAACCACTCCAATCTACATTCTACACCACAGTGTTTTTTTTTTTTCTCGTGGTTACTTCTCCAGCCATCGGATATACCACAAACCCAACCTTAAATCAAAGCCTCTTTTTTTTTTGCTTTCTCTGTTTCTACCATCCATTCTACATATTGTCTGCTGTAAAAGAATAAACAACAATGACCCAGAGCTCAGATTTCTCACCCCCATCACCTTCTCTCTTCCGTATTCTACATGGCCCACTCTTCTAACTTCTTCACCTCAAAATCCTTACCCACCACTCTTCCAACCAAACTCGTATTGTCTACTGCAAGTCTCTTTCATCCTACCTTCCATCTTTCAACTAATTTTTTGATTGTTGTTAAACCTCCCATGAGGTTTGGTATTTGCAATCACCTCCTCTAAACTTTTTAACTTTTTTGACATAGTTGCAAAGAGACCCCTCGTTAAAATCTTCTAAAAGGAGGAATGAAAATATCCAAAATACCCATACAGTTACTTTGACCAAAATCTTTATTTTCCAAGTTTTCTCTATATATAAATCGCCAAACCCTTCCAATCTCTTTTCTGAAATTGTTTTATTTTCTAAATTGCCCTTTATATCAATCACTCAAAGGTAAAGTTACAACCTTAAATTCTCTTTTTTTTTTTTGTTTTCTTAAAGTTTGTATTGTTTTTTCTGGAGAAACCAGCCTCTTTTTGGACATTTCCAGCCTCTTTATACCAATCTCTTTTTTTTGTTTTTTTAATTTTTGGACATTTCCATGCCTCTTTTTAAAGGAGGATTCTAACAAAGGGGTCTACTTGCAACTGTGTCAGAAAGTTTAAAGGAGGTGATTGTGATTACCAAACTTCAAGAAAGGTTTTCACAACATTCCAAAACTTCAAGGGAGGTTTTAGCAATTTATCCAAAATAAAATAATAGACAAACTAGAATAAGGATAAAAGCAAACTTGCAAATCCAGAGGAAGCCAAAAACAAAGCACCGCCATCTGCAAAGAAAAACACACAAGCAAGCACAGCACACACCTCCAACAGATCAACTTAGAGATGAAACAAACGTAAAACTAATAAAAATAACTCATTCAAACTCACCCTCCAAATAAAGTAGAAAAAAAAACTACCTTGGGCATAGCATTGTTATACTATCTAGTAACTAGAGATCTAGCTACAGGACTAACATGCATAACTACCACACATAGCACAACTTAAAGAGATAAAAACAGCAGGATTTAGTCAAGGAAACTTCCCTTTCATATAGCAACTTCATCCCCCTTCATCATTTTTTTTTTTATTTTTTATTTTTTTTTTAGGGGGGGGGGGATTGACAGAGTGAGAGTCCTATACTCCTATTTGGTGGATGGGAAGAACCCGGGGGGCCATGGTTTATTGCTTGATAAAGTGATAAGCTGACAAGCGTGAGAACACGGGTTCAAGTTTATGAACTACTTTTGCAAACGAAAATAAATGTAAGGTTAGTTCCATATGTAGGCCTGGGTAGTGGCCTTTTGCCTCAAGACACATTAAATAATGAATGGCCTGAATGCTTTGAAGTTTGATCTGCCCCATGTGTTTGTCCCCAATACAACTGATTCTTTGTACTGCTGGCGATGCAGCCCTGTCTATTAGATATTTCACGTCCGAGGTTGCATCTGGAGTAGCTTAAGCGCTTTTTTATTAGTATCTCATATCTTAGAAGCTTTATATGGAATTCCCCATAATGCCTCCTGTTAAGTAGATATAATTTGGTTAAACATTTCCTCACATTTCCCATTTAAGAACAGCAAATAATCTGTTAATCATCTTAATGTCTAGGGCTACATGCCTCTAAGTGGTTATGATCATCTGGATGACTAGGTTTTGCCAGATAATCTTTTAACTCGTGTAACTTCCACCCAAATTTGAAGCTATTACAGTTCAGTTCAATAAACCGAGGCATTAAAAATGTTTTGGACAGTCAATGTTGGGAGAGAACTTTTTTCTTTTCCATCAATAAGTAAAGATGAATTACAAAAGGTTCAATATATACACTATAAATATTAATATATTAAAACAATAACAGAACTCTAAATGTGCATATTAAATAATAAAGTAAACATTTTCAAGCATGTTGCATTCAGATGCTTGAAGAGAACGCCAAAACTCTGCCCCCTCCCCGGATTATCTGGGGAAAGGATCACATTCTAAGTCAATGCAAGTGGCAAACAGAACCATGCACTCAAAGCCTATGCCAAATCCACTGTGTTTGACGGTCCCATAACGCCTTAGACCAAGGTACCTTTCATATGGCTCAAGTGGGAGGCCCATCTCCAGTATCCTGAAATGATCAAAGTAGTTCCCCAGGAATGAATTCACAGATAATGGATTCATCACTTAATATTTCAAGCCAAGGTGTTGTGAGTAAAAGCATCAACAGAGTGAAACTCAACAAAGCAGTACCAGCAGTACCAACTCAAGGAATTAACTCTGAAATACCCGTTGATGCCAACCTAGGTTCTTTTTTCCATGCCAACCAAATAGTGTTACATCCAAATGATTTTATGAAGTACTAAAAAAGTCCACATCCACTACCACTTACTTGTATGTGAAGATTATTAACAAATGAGCCGGAATGATTATACATGAAACAATATGGGGGCTGTGACACAAATACATAATAAAAATATTAGAAATGTTATTATCTTAAAATTAAATTCTCTTAGGGATATATGGTTTGAAACAACTACCTGGAATTGCGGGGACATGGTGTGAAAATTCTGCAAATCCAACTTCAGTGTAACCCATGTTAGAAGAAATTAATTTTAAGGGTGGTTGTAAAATCAAATTAGAAGAGAAAAAATAAAGTTCGTCAAATAATTATTAGAGTTGTCCAAATGTCTTACATGAACATGATTTGAAATGGTGTTTTGCGGATCACTTCTATTTGTAACAGTTTGAATACTTTCTCCAAAACTTGAACCCTGTATTATAAGAGTTTCAATACAATATATATCAAAACTTAATACAAAAATTATCAAACCTTAATACCTGTGTGTAGGTGAGAGAGTGGTCAAATTCTTGTGCATTTGTGATTATCATCTTCTTGGCTACAAGATTGAGATTCCCCTCATCTCTACATTCCTGAATCATAAAAGAATCAATTAATATTATTTAAATAAATTTTTTAGATAAGTTAAAAAATACCTGTGTAGAGCATTTTTCGGTAGATTGGTCCCCCTGTCTTTTCCTCTTAGCTATTGCTTTTTCCAAGGCATTTTTTGGCCTTTTAGAAGAGCGTACAGTAGAAACCCTGTCTTTAAATCCTTTCGCTTGTTTTGAAAACCCGCTTTCCACAGATCTTCCACCAGTGCTACCAATGCTATCACTTTCAACATGTGTGCCATTAAGATCTATGCAAGGAGACCCAATGTTATCATTTTCAACCTGCATACTCTCAAATGCTGCAGATGATTGATCAAATGTTGTCTGTTTCAAACACCTTGTCACATCTTCCAACAGCTTTTCTCCTACCTGCATAACCATCTTATAAGCATCACCACTAGGTGCAGCTTTATTTACTATTTGGATGAGCAAATGAGACATCTCTTTCCTATATGTTGCTACTTTTGTAGCTTGATCAAAATACAAATTAGAGCCATGAGATGCTTCACTGCTAGACGCTTTTGCACCGATAGTCCATCTTTTCAATATATAGCGTGATGGTAGCATCTGCACACGTCTATAATCAAGTATTTTCAATGCATGCCTACATAAGATCCCAACAAATTCAAACTTTTTGCAACTACAATTGACTGAATCATTTTTTGAATCATAAATCACTTTGAATCGACGATTCACCCCATACGCAGAAATTGTATATTCAACTATTGTTTCAGACACAACATGATCTTCTTCAATTTTGCAATTCAATTGTTGCAACACCTCATTATGAAACAGAGAAAAAATTGGGGGTGTATACACATGAGCAGTAAAATCTAATATTCCCACATGTGCTGCCATGGTTGGAGTACTTTGTGTTGATGCAAACTCAGCTTTTAACTCCTCATACCGCCTAACAGCAACCACTCTCTCAAAATGCCGAAGGAATATTAACAAATCATACCTGATATTAAGATATTTCCTAAGGCAACTATTAAAACTTTCGCTTCTCTGTGTTGTGCTTATGTCAGCAAAAAATATTTGTCGTTGAAATGCTAATGCCCATTTATGCCTTTTACTATACAACCTTTGCAACCAATCATTCTCTTGAAGTCCATACATATTGATCATGCTCTCCCATGCATTTTCAAATTCATCAACATTTTCACAATCATATAGACAATTACTAAAATCCTTAGAAAATGTCTTGAACTTCTCAAATACACCACTAAGGTGTATTGCAGCATTTTGGAAGATATGACAAACACATAACCGATGATGTGATTCTGGCAATACCAAATTAATCGCTTTTTCCACAGCTACATCATCATCAGTTAGAATTGTATTTGGTTTTTTTCCTCCCATTGTTTTGAGAAACACATTAAACAACCATTCAAATGTATCTACAGTTTCATCATATAACAATGCAGCACCAAAAATAATTATTTTCTTATAATTATTCACCCCCCAAAATACTGCAAATGGTCTATTCTCCTTATTCATTCTAAATGTTGTATCGAAGCATACCACGTCACCAAAATGAGCATAATCTACTATCATTTGTGCATCTGCCCAAAACAAATTTGTAACTAACTCAGCTTGATCAAGTTGTATTGCATAAACAAAGGATGGATCTTTTGACCGCCTATCTTCAAAATATTGTAGAATACCACCTGCCTCCCCCTTCTCCATTTTCCTTGTCCGGTATGTATTTAAGTAATTCTTTAAATTTGTAGACGTAAACTCAACATTTTCACAAGCACCAGCTTCAATGGCGACCAATTCTATTGATGCTTTTGAAGCTATCACTGCATCATTTGCCATTTTAGCTTGATTACCTTTTACCTTACTAGTCGTTCTTTGTGATCTCAACATATGTGACTTGCTAGGAGCCGCGATTATATGATTATGAACATCATTAAAATCAATGATGCGATAACAACCATCCTTACAACGGCTTATCTTCATAGCTGCCATACAACCACATCTTGTCTCTTCTCGACGATTCTTGACATTGAGCCTACGTTTATCTGTATCACGCCGCTTCCCTTCTTTAGAACAACAAAACTTGCTGAATCTTATTTGGCAAGTTTGCTTGCATAATACCCTATTATCCTTTCGAGTACTAAATCCCACCCTTCTAGCATATGTATTATAAAACTCATATGCTTCGTCTACAGTTTTAAAAATCATGCCAATCTTTGGGATCCACTCTTCAGGAATAGGACTTGATTTTTCCTTGAGTTTATTTTGTATACTTGTATCAAAGCCTCTTGCTTCTTCAGAAGTAGGCAAATCATCATTAGGTTTGGCTGGTTCACCTATGTTAGGTGAAGGATTTACCTCATTTGAATTATTGGTTGTGTTAGTATGTCCGCGTTTGTCTCTATCAAGTTCAAAATTCAACCTTTGAATGGAGTGTGAGGTATCCTCCATTCTTTGTTTGATTATCCTGTTACACATAACAAATTTTAACCAACTATTAAAACATTAAAACATCAAAAAAAAGAGAAAAAAAAGCTAAAATCAATATAATGAAAATAACAATAGAGTAAGTTGGGAATCCACTATGTTATAGATTAAAAATAGGTTCAATTAATCATCTAACCGCAACAATGGTTTCCTACATCTACTAAAAATCCATAACTGGTCATATGAAGATGATAAACTTGCATACCATCCTCTCAAACAGTCTAATATTAAAATCCTCATAGCCAACTTGTATAGTCACATGAAAATAAAACTCTAGTTCAAAACATGGTTTCCTACTACTACATCTAGTTCAAAACTTGTATAGGCAAGTTGTATGGAGCAATAGAAGCATGTTCAGCTTGTTTATTCTCCTTTGATCATTCATGCAAGACTGAAGATTATCCTGTCCTTCCCTTTTCATTTAGTCATAAGGTTAACACTTGTGGAATTACAAGACATTATAATTCTTCCCACCCAAACAGCAATTAAGTCAAATGATGGGACATGAATTGAAAATGATCACAGTAGCCATGCAATAAAGCATAATCAAACAACTATTAGAATTAAAGTATGCAGATAAAAATTGCAAAGTAAAACCTCCCTTTCTCCCTTTCTCTTCTTAAGAACCTACCAACAAAGACCTACCTTTATGATATCTCCTATACATCAACTACTAATCCCTTTATAAGTCCCTTATATAGCATGTTTAAAAGATCCAATTACACTCACATTTCAAGGTCACCATTGGACTTGGACCAACAACCATAAACAAAGGTAGAACATGAATACCCATGGTTGTCTCCTATATTTTGGTGGTCAAAATAAAGAGGTATAGGTTATTAGGTAAATCCAAGGGGTGGTTAATGATATATTGTGAAAAAATTACAGCTCAAAGAAAATATATATATATTTGTGAAGGGTGGATTCTTGAAAAGGTGGCGCTATTATCCTGACTTTCCGGAATTTGTTCAACAGTGGGGATAACACTAGCCATGTTTGGAGGTGTACAAAAGCATTCATTGGATAGGAACAAAATCCTAGTGAGAGGAGGCATCTATCTAATTATTGTTGGTGATCCTGGATTAGAGGGCAACTGCACGATGGAGGAGAGGTTTGTTCATGCTGTGCGCATTGGAGAAGAGTAATGAAGAGAGAAGCAAAGAACTTTCTGCTCGAGAGTTATCCAAAGGGAATACAGCTTTGAAGGTTAGGGAAACTAACAATGGTGATGGTATTGTTGGTAGATTAGGAGGTGATTGAATGGTCATGGCATTTATGGAAGGAGCTTTACAGCATAGTTTTCAAGGCACCAAGGTGAAGCTAGGTTACAGAGGGGCGCCTTGTTGCCTAGCTGCCTAGGGAGGTGCCTATGCATCGCCTAGGCGATGCATCTTTTTAAGTAAAAAACATGTCCTAGGGTAGTTCGCTAGGTTCCATAACCACATTTCCTTAATAATAATCCATAATTTCCATAAGAAAAGTATAAGCTTCATATTAAAGTATAGAAATAAGCATATTCATGAAAAGAAAATCCAAAAAATATAGGGGCTGAACCCCTATTTTTGTTATAGAAAAAGAAGAAAAGGTCGGGTTTTGAAGAAGAAGAAGTGTTGATTAGACAAAATTTTAAATTCTTCCTTACTTATTGGTTCAGGTTTTGAAGTCTTTGAGGGTTCAATGCAGCAGTTAGCAATGTCTGTGGTGATTAAACCCTAATAAATAAGAAAATAATAAAAGAAATTAGTATATAAACACACAAAATTAATATTTTAGTTTAATAATGTCTTTTATAATTAAAATGTCAAAAAATTAAAAATATAAAAGTATTTTATAAGACAACATACAAAACTGCTAGGTGATTAGGTGAGGCGAACCTTCAAGGGTGCCTTGTTGCCTAGGCGTCGCCTTGACAACTATGCTTTACAGTCAGGCAGAAATTGTGTTCAAAGAATCGAAGGTAGTGGAGGAAAGAACCTACAATGCAGAAAGAAAAGAAAATGTTAAAGGCAGGTACATAACTATTTATGAACATTTTGGTCAAGGAAAGAAGCAGGCTGTCTGCTTTCCAAAAGGAAAAAGAGGGGAAAGTTGGAAGGAGATCCTTAAGATATTGCAGGAATTTTTAAAGCAGGAAGAGAAGAAGGCAGAGGAAGACAAAAGGGCAGAAAAAAATGAAGACTAATGAATTGAAGGAAGAGGAAGATAATGAAAAACTATGGGCTAATGACAGGAAAGGACGTCTATTCAGAATGATAGCAAGTTAAGAGAGAGGAGAGTGGGAAAAGAAGCTAGTAGTCCAGACAAAAGAATAGCCACAAGATTGGAAGAAAATAGTAGAAACTATAATCTTGGGCTTGAAGCTCAAGGGGATGGTAATAATAACTCCCTTTGAAAAGCAAAAGGCTTTGCTTGAATTAGGCTAAGTTTGGGAGTGCTTATTTGGAAAAAAAAAAAAGTTCTTATTCTAATAAGCACTTATCAGTATTTGGTGAAAAAAACGCTTATTTTAAACAGGGGTAATATAGGTATTTTAAAAATGACATGGAGGGCGAAGATAGGCCAGAAAGGAAATAAGCCCAAAATTTGGGCTTCTCAAATAAGCACTTATTTTGGGCTTATTTCCCAAATGCAAATAAGTGTTTATTGGTGTGGTCCTGGACCAAATTAAGTGCTTATTCGAATAAGCACTTATTTTTAAGCACTCCCAAACTTAGCCTTAGTAGAAGATGTGGTGGATGTAGCCGCAATGAATTTTGCAGATGAATAAGAGGCTAGCCACTTGGAAGAAGAATTATATGTCTTTGGGGGGTCGGATCACTTTGATTATGCCTACCTTGACCAACTTGCATGTTTATTTGTTGTTTGTCTTTAGAATCCTGGCAATTGTGAGTAAGAATATTGGAGAAGTTAATGAGAGATAAGCTAATAAAAAAAAGTTAATGAGAGATTTTTTTTATGGGAGCCAGGTGAGGAAAAAAGTGATCATAGAGTTGGATGGGGAGTGGTTACTAGAGGCAAGAATAACAGCGGTCTAGGTATAGGGGGCATCCAGGAAAAGGAATGAGGCTCTTTCGGGGAAGTGGCTATGAAGACTACAAAAGGAAAGAAACAAACTTTGGGTTAAGGTGATTGTAAGTATTCAAGGGCAAACAACTGATAGTTGGGATGTTGGAGTCCTGGCCAATGTTTTAAAATGCGGAAGCGTGATGCGAGGCGTTCCACTACCTAGAGGCGTAGTTCAGAACGCAAGAGGCGTAAGCCTCCCGAACACAAGGAGGCGTAAACCTCCTTAAGAGTAGGGGGATTAGGAGGAGGAAGGGGGGATCTCATTTTTTCTTTATTTTTAATAAAAATCTTTTATATTAAAAAGAATAAAGATGCATAACATTAGTTGATTGGGACTTCAGTTTTAGAAGGGATTTTTTATATCAATTGAAGGGCTACACAATGGGGAGTAGCCCATCCCCCAACCCATAACCCCCCAATCCAGGTGTAGGCGAGATTCGATCCCAAGTCTCTGCTACCACCAACAGGAGACCTTACCAACCAGCTGGTTGGCACCTTGCGGGTTTTAGGGACTTTGAAATCCATTCTGTTTCAGCTCTAATTTAATTATTGGCTGGGGTGGTTTTGGATCCTGGGAGAGGGGATAGCAGGATTTGGAGCCAATGTCCAATTTTTTGGTCCCTTCTGACTCAAGTTCTGTTTTTGATTGGGACTTCGTTTTTAGAAGGGATTTTTTATATCATTTGAAGGGCTACACAACGGGGAGTAGCCCATCCCCCAATCCAGGTGCAAGCGAGATTCGATCCCCAAGTCTCCACTACCACCAGCAGAGACCTTACCAACCAGCTAGTTGACACCTTGCAGATTTTAGAACGGGTTTTAGGGACTTTGAAATCCATTCTGTTTCAGCGCTTATATAATTATTGGCTGCGGTGGTTTTGGATCCAGGGCAAGGGGATAGAAAGATTTGGACTTTGACTTATTTTGGTGTGTTTTCTTGTGCCTCTTTTTTCAAAGCCTTAATGCAGCCTTCTGATAGTCTTGGAAATAATTTTCCAGTCCTTGAAGTTTGGGGTAACTGATTCCTCCTAGGATTGGGGCTTTTTTGTTGGGAAGCCTTTCTGGGAAGGTGTAACACTTGTGACTTGCTCCAAAGAAAAAGACTTAACTAGTGCTTACCTCCCAATTCGTGTATCCTTTGTAAGGCTAATGGTGAGAGCTGCTTTCACCTGTAAATATCTTGCCCCTTTGTTTCAGATACTTGGGTTTGGTTTCTCTCCTAATTTGATTGCAAGTGGACCCCCCCCCCACTGGATATACAAAGCTTGTTTGCCTCTTCTTTCTTCAGATGGCCAAAGAAGAGGGGTAAGGGGTAGAACTCTATGGAGGTGTGTTAGGGCTGCTATATGCTGGATAGTCTGGGAAGAAAGGAACTCAAGAATTTTTTCAGGTAAAGAAAGGAGTAAGGAGGCCATTATTGAGGCAGTTACCATTAGAGTGGTATAGTGGGTGCAGTCTATGGAGTTGTTTGAAGGTATGTCCACAGATATGATCAGAAGGAACTGGAAGGATATGGCTGATTCAGCCCCTGAAAAGACCAAAATTACCCCCCTTTGGTCTCCACCAGCCCCTGGATTCGTTAAACTGAACTTTGAATGCAGTAGTGAAGGTAACCTGGGGCCATCTGGCATAGGTGGAGCCTATGGAGACGACGAAGGAAAAGTCATTGCTCTATTTTCTGGTTCTGTTGGTGTTGGTGACTCACTTCAGGCTGAGATCTTGGCAGTAATGGAAGGAATAAAGAAGGCTAAGGAGTTGAATTGCCGCAAGCTTATTGTTGAAGGGGATTCAAAACTGATTATTGGCTGGCTGCAAAAAGAAGATAGTGGTCTATGGAAGTATGCCAATGAAAAAAAGATTGTTTAATCAGTTAGCACAGACCTGGAAATTCAGTTATAGTGGGTAAAGAGAAGTGCCAACTCCTTTGCGGATACTCTTGCTAAACAAGGGGTGGGAAGGGAACATCTGTTTTGGGCTATATTGTAAATTATTTGTTTCTCTCAAGGGGAGGGTTAAGAGGTTTTACCTCTCCCCTTCTGCTTTGCACTTATTTCTTTATTATTTAATGAAAGTTTTCTGTTATTTATCAAAAAAATCTAGCAGCTTCACAGTGGCAAGATGGAAGGAAGAAATCTTCATACTCTTGGTGGAAATTGTTCATATTCTTGGTCTCCCCTTCCACCTATGGAAGGAAGAAATCTTCAAGTCAATTGCTTCATTATGCAATGTGAAGTTGGATAGCACTTTTGCAATTGATCTTCACTCGGCAGCTATTTGCTTGAGTGGGGTTAGTCCTGAGGAAATCCCAAGGAAAATACTAGTTGCAGACAATCAACTGGTTTACTCAGTCTGGTTGACAACCGCCATTTAAGCTGCAATGTGGAGAGCTTCTAGAAGGGAAGATGACAAAAGGTTTGAAGATGATTTTCTAGGTGGTAGGAGCCAATTGGATGAAGTAAAGGCGATTGAAAATTACACTGAAATGGCAAAACAAATACTAGGTAGAGGAAAAGGCGAGGTTATAGAGGAAGAAACATATAATCCAAAGAAAGGAGGGGATTTGGCATGTGGCTGGTCTTACCCTGAGGTGCTGACTGGAGGACCTCAGCATGTGCAGCAGCACTCTGGATCTGCTACCCACATCCATACCCATGGGACACCACCACCCTGTATTGGGAACATCTCCCCGTGAATGACAAGGAAGATATTCTCAATGGGTAGTGTGTGGGTAGCAGATCCGAGGCCCAATTTAGAAAATTGAAAAAGAATGTGGGTTAGTCTATCAGAGGTTCAACCTTGAACCGGACTAAGGTATTGGGGTCAAATAATCTAAACCAATCATGTGGTACTTAAGTAACCACATGAGAATGAAAATTGGGCTTGGGTCTGTTTCTTTGAGGCCCACAGGTGAAAAACAACCGAGTTGTCTCAGCACATGACCTGTTTAGAGGGCATGTGACTACCAAGGAAGGCCCAAGGATGAACAACAATGTTTGTCTATCATCTTACTCTTCATTCAAATCAGGGGTCCATGGAGTCCGAAATGAGAAGATGGGGTGGCAAACTTCAATGCAATGGGTACCTAGTAAAGGGAAGATGATTGAGTCTCCTGAAAAGTGTAACCCAAGGTTTAACAAATGCAGTAGCAAAGAAATAGAGGGACTTCAAGATGAAGACTCAGAGTTCAATGGTCACAGAAGCGACTGCGATGCAATTTCCTCTAAATATTCGAGCATAGGCAGCACCGATCAAACTTTGAGGCTCAATATGAATGAAGTAGAGAGGTTGTGGCATGAAGTAGTGAAAAGTATCCATGGCTTTTCCGAATCAGGTTGGGATGCAGGAGTATCCCAAAGGGCTTTTGCTTACAACACCTTGGAAGGCTATCTCTGGCATTCTCCCTAAGTTCCTCGGTTTTGTAAGGTATGCTTGCTCTGGAAACTCCATTCTTTTTTGGGAAGATACTTGGGTGAGCTCTCAATCCCTAAAAGATTGTTTCCCTTCTCTCTATTCCATCTCCCTCTTTAAAAAGAAACCCATTTCTTGGTTCCTTTCCCCCCCGGTTTGCCCTTTGACCTTAAATTGGGATTTTGGGTTTCAAAGAAGGTTAAGGGATGAAGAATTTCTTTGCGTTTCAGAGCTGTTGTTGCTTCTAGATTTGGTGTGTTTGGACCCCTCCTAACCCGGATAAAAGAGTCTAGTCCCTAACCCCGGTTGGCTCATTCATTTGTGCTTCTTTCTTTAAAGCCTTTTGCTCCAACCCCTCCTCTCAGGTCTTCTCTGTTAAAGAGGTATGGTCAAGACCAATTCCCTCCAAAATAGCAGTGTTCTGTTGGGAAGCCTACTATGGTAAGATCAATACTGTGGAAAACTTGCAAAAGAAGAAACCTTTTATGTGTTTGTCCCCT